GCAATATCTCTTTTCTTCTACACGACAATGATCTATGAGATGTTACATCTGCTGTAAAATATAGAACCGTAAATTTATATAAATAACTACTCATTAAGTACACATACATACGAGTGTTTATTTGTATGTGTCAATCACTGATTCAAAACCACCCGATGTATTTCACCGATTATAACATCTACAAAAGTCACGACAAAATGTAGAAAGTCAGATAGGTTGAATAATTTAATGATTTCACCAAGAAGATTTATTTATTATTCGCCTAACGAGAAAGTAAAGATTATAATTTTCATAAATAATGAAAATATAAAATGTGCATTCATTAATCACCATACAACCTGCCGAAGGTTGACATTATAGAATCTACATGGGTAATAAAGAATCTCAAGGGAAATTTCTGTTCAAAGAAGAGTGGATCTCACATTATTTCATACTTATCCTATTAATAGAAGAGCAATTTGTCAACTTTAAAAAGGGAATTTACCATTATAGCCTTCCACCTTTTAATCAGAAAAAATTAATCCCCAATTCATCATTGGGACAAATGTAGGGGTAGTAAACGAGTCGAGCCGACTCGTGAGCTCAATGAGGCGGCTCAAACTCGAGTTTTTCGAGTTCAAGCTTTCTGACGAGCTGAGCTCGAGTCAGTTTTTAGTTGTTCGTGAGCTCGCGAGCCTTATTTATTATTATTTTTATTGTTTCATATATTATTTTTTATTTAAATAATGTATAATAATATAAAATATTATAGAATAAATATAAATATTAAAAAAATTATAATTACAATTTATTGTTTATTTTATAATTTTTTTTTATATTTTTTAATAAAAATAAAATAATATTTAAATAAAAAAAATGAGTCGGCTCGAGCTCGACAAAATAGCACAAGCTCGAGCCAAAAAAGATCGAACTCGACGAGTTCGAGCTCGACAAAATAAACTCGAGCTCGAGCGCGAGCCTGCCAAAAGAGGCGAGTTCGGCTCGTTCAGAGCCCAAACAAATGTTTGACATCACATCTTAGGATAAAGATATATATATATCTACAATAAATAAATATATATACACTTAATTAATTTCATCCACTATATATATAAATAAATAATAAATACTTTATTGTAATGCCCAGAATTGGATGCGCACGATAAGCACAGAAAGGAAAAAGCAGATAAAAAACTCTCAAAAAACAGTCCACGTCCATCATTACGTCATAATTACACACAGTACACACACTAACACAGTGCACATGAATGTGTTTGACTTTCAGCTAAAAGTGGCCCCCTTTCTGATAGTGATTTCGTATTCTCAGAGAGAGATTGAAATTCTCTCTTCACTTTTTCTCTCTTCTTTTTCTCCTCGGTGAATTTTTTTTCAAGAAAATTTCAATGGAGGGTCTACCCTCTGGTTATCGCCCTAACGTTGGAGTTTGTCTAATCAACGATGATAATATGGTAATTACTCGAAAACAATATATAGGGATGAAAATTATGCATTGTGTTCTGGATGCAGATAAGGTGTTTGGTTTTATGCCTGTGTGACGAATTATTTGAGATGTGATCAGTATTTACGCCGTTCTCCTTTGTTTAATCTTGGCTGCTGGTTAATTTTCCTCTTGTTTGAGGAAATTCTGAGGGTGATGTTAGATACGAAATATAAATTCTTGATTTTTTTGCAGAAAGAAAATTAGAGATGGATCCTTAATTAAATTTCATTAATTTTTGATAATTTGTTTCCAGGTGTTTGTGGCTTCTAGATTAAATGTTCCTGGAGCTTGGCAAATGCCTCAGGTAATCCCACTTTTGAGCTCAAAGATTGTATAATTTGTGAATATCTTTATTTATTGGGTAGGGATTTTTTCCCTTTTTTTTCTTTTTATTTATTTATTTTTTTAATAAATGTTGCATAGGGATTTCGGATACACAACCTTTAAATTTTTTGGGTGATTTTATACTTGTTTTCGTTGAAGAGGGTTGTAAATGGAATTCGTAACAAATAATTCTTCAAATATTGAATGGTATTCGACTCTTGGTTGCGTATTCCAAATGTTTTCGGGCGATGGAAAACGGAGCATGTAATACTGTAATTGGAGCTCTTGTTTGCGGATCGTAAAATTTATTCTTTTCGCTTGCAACAAAGACTTACTTACGTATTTTTGATATATAGGGAGGCATCGAAGAAGGTGAAGAACCAAAGTCTGCAGCAATCAGAGAATTGAGGGAAGAAACTGGTGTAGTATCTGCTGAGATAATAGACGAGGTTTTAAGTCTGTCTCGGTTAATATTCGCTCTTGTTGAACATTTCTGCGTTCTCTTTCAATTACTATAATTTATAAATAATCCGGTTTTGTCTTTTACACTCCGAAGCCAATGTTTCGTATGGAAATTGTTTCTGAAGCTGGAACTTACTATGTGTTGCCTATTTGACTATTTGAAGAAACAAGTTATTAATATTTGAAAAAAAAAGAAAGAAAACGGTCATTTTTTAGTTATCAGTATTCGAGATTGATAATTTATAACAAAATCATGTGAACTGTATATCAGGTTTCGGAATGGTTGACCTATGACTTCCCGCCTGCTGTGAAAGCCAAAGTGAATCGTCTCTGGCGAGGAGAATGGCATGGACAGGCACAAAAATGGTTAGTAATATTACTTTAATGATTTTTTATTTAATTTTTTTAGTATTTGACTTAATGATGTTCGATGATGTGAATATAAGCATGTTTTAAATTGTGTGCATGCATGCTCGATAACTACTTTATAGGATGATGCATATATGTATGAGCGTTTCTGAACTCGTAAACTAGAGTTGAATAACTACTGATGTAAATCTGTAGCTTTTTGTTGACGTGGCTACTTTTTGCTCTGTCGGTTTTGATTGGTCACGATGTGTCTTTTTTTTCGGAATATTCTGGCGTTTTTTGTTTTCTCTTAAAGTTTCTCTGTGTCGCTCAAAATTAATTTCTTTGTTGGTTTGGTATACTCCAACGAGTCCATGTCGTAGTTGTTTATGTAGGAGGAACCAATAAAAAGAATCCTAGGTCGATAGATTCTTGTTGAACAAAATGCTCGTATTTACTGAAAAAAGAAAAGTGGTTACGTAAGCCAGCACAATTACCGGATGTCGTTTAGGTAATTATGCTGACGATAGCTATAAATACAGAACTAGTTCCGACAAAATTGCACCGACTCCTCTATTCCATTATGTATTTTCAAACATCTATTCTCTCCTGTACGTGTCTTTATATATATATATACATAAAGCTTATTTCCGAAATTATCAGTTGCATTTTTATTACTCGTCCCTTTCTTTGATTACGCAAGAGGCCACCATAAATTTTCCGTTGCATAAATAAAAATGACGTCCGTTACTTAAAAAACAGAAAGATATTCAACCGTATTTATATAGTATAGTCCGTCCCCTGCAGTTTACTTTGTACTTCTGCTAATTTAATTACTCAACGCCAGCTGGCGGTGAATCAAAGCATAATTTGTACCCGAGTGTAAATATTTGCAGGATGAGGAATAACTTGGATTAGATTTTGAACAGGTTTCTTATGAGATTAACTGCCGACGAAAGTGAAATCAATTTAGCAAGTGGTGAAGCAGACGCAGAATTCTCGGAATGGAAATGGGCTACCCCCGAACAAGTCATTGAACAGGTAATTTTCTTTTTTCTTTCTTGTTCGAAATAAAATTCCCGATCTCCATTATCTTTATCAAAAGAAGCTAATATTTATCGGTATATTTCGACATTGAACCAGGCGGTGGATTACAAGAGGCCTACCTACGAGGAAGTTATGAAGAAGTTTCGGCCTTACTTCGATTCAGGAAAAGCTACAAAGTGCTATTCGACAAAATGGTGAATAATAATTAATACATAATGTGGTTTGCAGCTTTAATTTTGCTTTTTTTTTTTTTTTTTTTTTAATATATTTACTTTGTCGAAGAACTGGTTGTAAATGTATATGTGGGGGTTTTCAAACTTTCAGATCAAGTGGTTGTTACAAATAAAATGGTTGTTTAAAAATCTGTTATTTGTTTCTATTGATACTTCAATGAAAAAAAGGTAAAAAGACAAAAAAAAAAAGAGAGAGGATTGGCCATGATTATGAAGAGTTGGCGGCACACGGCCACGGTTCAAGAACCATCGGTCCTTCAAGTTGGAACTGGCGGTTCGAGAAGTGGGATTTTCCGGACACTTTACTCGGTAACCATGGAAAGTGTAAGGCTTAAGTGACGGTTCTCGGAATCAATTGTTAACGGCTGAATCTCTTTTTTCATTAAACTTTTAATGAGTTTTTACTTTATGTAACTTGTATATTAAAAATAAATAAATAAATTAAACAAATATGAAGAAATTTAAGAACTTTAAATGTTAGTAAAAAACTATTTTGTTCGATAGTACAAGTTAAATTTCATTTGAAGTATTACCAAGACCACAATAATTAATAGTAAATTGTAGGTAGGGTCGTGCAACAATTCATCAATATTTTATTTTGTGTGGCATTCTTCAGAAACCCTATATACAAATTACACTTTTACGAAGGTACCAGAATTACCAATTCAATGACAAGCAATACCTATGAACTCAATTTCCAATGATCACTCTAAGTATAAGAATAAATTAGGGGGTAAAATAGCACCCCCCTTGGTTTGGCTCATTTGCACATCACTCCCTTCTATTTTCAGTACATGACACTCTTTACTTTTAATATAAACACATTACCCCTTTTTGGTATTCCATTAGGCAATATGATGCAGGCCGATACCTACAACGGAAAAGAGATAGAAAACGATAGAGGACCGGGAATCACTCAACCGGCGGCAGCGGATTCACTCAACGCTACTAATCACGGAATCACTCAACGCGACCAAGTCACTCACTTGTATAAAGAGGAATCATTCACTCTCAATGCAATTAACTTGCAAGAAATTTTTAAAATCAAAGAATCATCTCCCATTTTATTCATCTAAAGGGTGTTTATATAGGACTTTTGGAACATCCCTCCAAGACATAGGAAATTACAAAGCTTGAATGACTTATCATCTTCTAATTCTAGAAAATAAATAAGCTTGACCTTAACTTATGAAATACATGGAATATAACCTGATTAATTGATAACAAAATTAATAATTTGAAATTAGGCTAATAAAATAGATAAAACACTTAGAAATACCAAAAGACACAAAGCTGTCAATTTTCTAGAGTGGAGCTGGCAGGTCTAGAAAACTTATCATACTTCTTCTTCCAACCTTTGTCTTGTAGACCGTTTTGTGTTGGAAACTATACTTAGTTTTGTAACCATATATAGCAATAAATCTAAATTTTCGAGAATCGAAACTGGTGATTTTTCAAAGTTGACTGGTCTGAAAACACCAATTCTACATCATTTCAGATCACTATACACCATCATAGTACACCACATTATGCTATAGTACACCATAATAGTTTTACAATCTGCTGTATTATTTAACAAAAACGAAAAATATGTTTTTTTCATAATTTTCAATATAATGTTAAAAATGACGATGAAAAAACAATAAAGATGACAAGGTTTGTAAAAAATAAGGGGCTATTAGTGAGAACATCCTCTAGCATTTTTTTAATAAAGATGGGTCCAACCCTATTTCCTTTATTAGTGATAGGTCCAACTTTTTTTAATTCTCAAATTTACCTTTCCTTACTATTCACTCTCCACTACTTTAATACGCATTTCATTTTTTTTATTTTAATTATAATATTCGTTTATTTATTTAAAAAATTTTAAAAAATAAATTTTTTTCAATTTTATTATTTTTATTTTCCAGCTTTTTGTTTTCATATCGATTATAAAATTCCGAAAACAACTATAAAATTTTCGGAATCAACTATTTCCGAAATCACCTATTTCCAAAATCAACTATTTCTGAAATCAACTATTTTCGAAATTGACTATTTCCAGAATCAACTATAGATTACTGAAAACAATTATTTTTTTTTTGTTCGTTTATTTCTCGAACCAACAATCACAGAAAAATAGTTATTTTTAATAGCAGGTTTACTAAAATTATATCAACTACAAATTAACGAAAATCAACCATAACAAATTGAAATCAACTAAAAATTTATCAAATCAACTTTAAAATTATCTAAACCAACTCTAAAAATCGAAAACAACTATAATTTATCTAAATCAACTATAAAATAAAAAAATCTCAATTTAAGAGATTAAACAACTATAGTTCAATCCAGATGCTGGACATTACAGTCGCATATCCATCGAGAAAAGGCTATATCTCCACCGACCATGTGTTGAATCTGAAGGCTGTGAGGGTGATTTGTTCCATCGCCAACGTCTCAACCACTCCCCAAATTCTACATGCCAATGACTCTCAGGTGAAGAAAGGATGCAAATCCCTTGCGTCAACCGTCAATTACCATTCTACCACATCACATCGCTGCGGATACCTAAAATGGTTTCAGAGAAAATTAGTATAAAAGATCAACTACACTCTACAATATATCGAAAATCAACTACAAACCACATTTTTATAATCATGAATATAGATCTGAACCGAATCTAAAAATTCGATCTAAAATTGGCAAAAGATAGGATGAATTAACTGCTTTGCTACGATGAGTTTTTTATAACCGGTTTCATCCTCGGGCTGAATGAATCGGCAAGAGCCGCGACTCGAGGCAATCGGAGAGCGATTGTTGCCTATTGAATGACGGCTTCTGGTATCTGGCGAGACTCAAAAAGAGTAAAGGATTAACGAGGGCACCGTTGGGCGGTGACGACGGCGGTGGACGGAGGGCAGCGACGACGGCGGTTGACGGAAGGTGGCGCTGGGCATATGAGATCTGGTTTAGGGTTGGGGATAGAAACGAGAGAGAGGTGGTGGTTGGAGAGAAAAAAGAGATGAATAAGAGAAATAGGGTTTGGTGATTTTATATGATAACTAAGGGTAATATAGACATACCACTTAAAATTTGAATTTATGTTAAATTAAAATATAAAATAAGGGGGTATCACTAATATGTAAAATGAAGTTATATCCATCCCAATATAACCAAATGTACTGGGGGGTTTTCACTAATTATCCCAAAAAATAAAGGATGTTAATTTAATAAAGAATGTGAAACAAATGGTTTAGTTGGACTTGTTATTTAGTTCTAATAAGTTTTGTCTCCATGAGAGCACAAACCTATGTCATAAGGGTAAAACACTGACAATAAAAAGAATATTAATATAATAAAAATGATACTTGAAAGATTATGGTAATAAAATTTTTGTTACGCCCGTATATGCTAAGGGGCTAATTCGTAGCAAATACATAGCAAATGCTTTTTGTACTACAAATTTAGTACATTTTACTATAGTTAATGGTCGTAATAAAAAACAATTTTCTATTAATGTATGCTGGTTAAAATAATATTATGAGAATAAAAATACCACATTATTAACGTCAAAAGTCTTATTATTGCATTTCAATAATGAATGGAGTAAGTGTTACATTGATTACGTGAAACTGTCCTATAATTTATGGTGCAATGAATCGATGATTTTGACACGCAATTGCAATTTAATCGGTTGGACAATGGTGCAACTAATACTATATATTGAGCAACGGTGGTGAACAATCGGGCAATTTTCTCTTTATTTATTTATTTATTTTTTAATTTTTTTTTTTTATGTATGTTGGAATTATTTCAATAATTATGTGGGCTCACATATGTGACGTGAATGTGTATGGCTATCTTAAAGAAAGTCCAAATTAATTGTGATCTAATAAAGGTTATTGGGTTGGACTTATGGGTATTAAACTATAATTATGGGCCTAATGTGTAGAGACAATTAGGGCTTAGTTGTGATTTATTGATGGGGCTGAATCACAATTATAATATAACTGGACTCTACAGTTATAAAAAGGGTCGTGGTCCCCAAAGAAACGCAACCATTCCATCTCTTCTAAAATCCATCGTTAGAGAGAAAAATTAAGGAACTGCGGATTCTTTGGAAGACCTGTCCCAAATCCAGTGGAGATTCGAAGATTCGATTCCGTTATGTAAGGTACGCTTCCGTGTTTATGTTTCTGTATAATTCTCGTTGATTCAAGCATGTTGGTTCTTGGGAATTCGTATGTATATACGATAAATTTCTAACAATGTAGCCTTCCAATTAGTTCACAAGTAAACTAAAAGTTGTCTTCCACATAAATGGACAACCCGAAATCATCAAATTCACCGCCACCACCTGCCACCACCACCACCACCATCTCCGGCGGCGGCAACAAAAAAGCAGTGGAAAACTTGAAATCACTGGTAATGAAATGCGCAACAAAGCAACTCACTCCTCCGCAGAAAACATTCATCGAGAATCGTATTCAAGAACTCGTCCCCACCATTAACACCACCACACCAGATCACCCCTCTTACGCTTTGGTATTACCACAAATAATTATATCTTCTCTCTTTCTTTATAATTATATCATTAATTTGTTTAGCATCCTTTTTTATTTTAATTTAATTTTTTTTTCCTTTTTGTTTTTAAAACTCTGTTTAGTGTTCTTCTCACCGATTGCATGTCAATTTTCTTACTTCAATTTTCCAAAATAAAAATTAAAAAAATAATAATGTCTCTGTCCTTGTTTTTTTTTTTTTAATTGATTTATATAAAATTAAATAAGTCAAATTTAATATATAATTTTGGTGGCACTGGGAGTAACAGATGATCGAGAATGCAATAAAACAGTTGAACGAAGAAGGCCGGGGTTCAAGCGAGGATGCCATTTCCAACTTTATTTTAAATCAATTTAATAATAATAAAAATAATAAGTTGGGTTGGGCTCACTCTGCACTGCTCAAACACCATCTGGTAAATCTGTGTGAGAGTGGCAATCTTGTAATTACGAGTCCTCAAGGGTTCTATGCATTGACCACCGGTGGCGGTAGCCGCCATAACCGCCGTAGCTCGAGCCCATTATCTAGTTCAACAACCTCCTCTACCAGCTGCTCTGAATCTGATGATCCTAGCTTTACACCGATTGCTGTTAAGGGAAGAAGGAGGAACAATATCAAGTCAAACAAAAAGTCAACGCCGCAATCCAGACGCAAGAGTACTAATAAGTTCAAAGGGAGTCGAAGAATAAAATAAACTACACACTGGGGTTATTATTATTATTATTATTATTATTATTATTATTATTATTATTATTATTATTATTATTATTATATACTCCACCTGATGTTTCTGTTTTCAGTAGCTAGCTAGTCTTGATTATGTATGGTACAATTAATGATCATATTTTCGTTGTATGTTCAATTTATTTTTGTAACACCAAATTGAATCTCGTGGTGGTGTTAGGATAAAGACAACACCACACAATAAGGGTCCTAATGGGTGGTGGGATAAGGGTTGATCGTCAGATTAGTCACTCCTAATCCGGCGTTTGGTAGCAATGATAGAAACATGGTATTGACTATTGACACAAAGCCCAGTTTCCAATCACCCAAATTGGTGATAACTTATCCCATCATTATGAGTGGGATTAAATTAACCAATTTTTTTTGATCAATGTTCGGAAAAAAAAATTACAATCAAACTGGGTATAAAAGCAAAAAAATCCCTATTTTCAGACCACATGAAATAGATTAAGCCCTAGCAACACAATATGTTCTTTCGGTTCTGAACATTGAAGCTCCGACGATCAAACGGGGCACAACCATTGTCTTCAAGATTTGAGAGTGGGAGTGGGAGTTGCGACTGACCTTTAATTTCTGCACATTGACATTTGGCGGACGCGCACCGTCTGTCAATTTTAGGAGTATTGCTTGATTTTGACTAGCTAGGTTAATCTTACCCGTTTAATTTAATGTGTTCCGTGTGTGAGTATGTGTGAGTAGAGTTATGTTTTTTTGCAATTTACGAGTTTACTGAGTTGGTTCGGGTTTGCTTATTTGTCAAGCCTGTACCGTCAGCTAATTGAACCGGCAGTTCGACCCATAACCAAAAAAATAAATATGCAACGATCAGATTATTTTTTAAAAGGGTTTGTTGATTTCAAAATGGGTGGGTCACTCCGGAACTAGACCAATTTGAAACGGATGGCAGCTAAGATTATCTAGTCGTTGATGGCCATTGTCGATCGATACATACTTGAACCCACCGGTTAGGTTAACTGGCTAAACCAGCCGAATTATTTATTTATTTTTACTTTTGTTTTGTTTTTCACCGTGCATGTAGTAATTACCCACCCATTCCATTCATTTTTCTTCACAAATTCACAAATTCTCTTCTTTTCTTCTCTTCCACCATATCTCAAGTCTCAATGAGCAAATATTTATTCTCAATTGGCAATAATAACATTAGCTCTCTAATTTTATCTATATCCCTCTCATTCAATATTATGATATATAGAATATTAATTTCAATAACATTCCTCATCAAAAGCTATATAATCCACATTCACCATGAATAATATTATGACTTCTAGGCTTGAAAGAGGACTAAGATAATGTAAAATATATTATTTATATATGATTTTCTGGAAAAAAAATTTAAAAAATTCAAAGTTATTATCCAAATTAAAATCAAAACAAAAATCCAGAAGTCCCAAAATATTATTATATTTTCAATTCCAACTCCAATTCCAATTCAAATATTTCAAATGCATAAAAAACTTACATTTTCAAAAATTGAAAAAAATAAATAAGAAAATTTCAAAATAAATAAGAAAATTCGAATAGATCTCGAAAAAAAAAAACCGTTTTCGCAAATCTTTAACATAAATTTTCCAAGTAACTTCTGTTAAAAGTTTAAGTCAATGTGATCACTAGATTGAAAGCATTATTAATTAACAACAAAAATTTGATGTTTAATATCAACAAAATCTGATGCCAGACGTATTTAATTATGACATCAAATTTGATGCTAAAGGAAAGTTACCATAATATATATGAAATAGTATTTTTCTTTACTTAAAAAGAATTTGAAATCAAGTGGGATTCAACCGAAATTTGAAATCTATATAACCCGTGTTTTTCGGTAATCTCTATATAAGCCGGCATCTTGAAAACCTAAACCTTCTCCGACAAATCTTATAAAGAAGAAGAAGACGATCAAGAAAAAAAGCTATGGAAACTTTTCAAGAAAGTATCTTGAAAATCGCCGAGACTCATCCAAACACGCCCTTAACCTCTCCGGCCAAAACCCATGTCAGAAATCACTTGGACCAGTTGTTTTCGAATTATAAAGTCCCCGATCATCCTCCGTATTCATCGGTAATTTAATCATCTAATTTGAAGTCTTATATATATATATGTTTAATTCTGGTTTGTGGGTTTTTTGATGTTTACTGTGATTCATGTGTGTATGTGTGTGTGTGTGTTTTCTTCATATTTTCATATTTGAAATATTTTTTCAGTCAATTCTTTTAATTGGGTATGTGTTGTGTGAAAAAAGTTTCGATCTTGATTTATATATATATTTTCATGTGTTCTTGAATTGTGAATGTGTATCTAAGTAAATGTTTTTTTAATTAAATTTTCAGATGATAGAAAGGGCTATTAGGGAATTGAATGAGAAAGAGGGTTCGACGGAGCCCTCGATATCCCGGTTCATATTCGAGCAATACAACGATCTGCCGTTGGCTCATTGGACTTTGCTCAAACACCATCTCAACAAACGCTGCGAGTCGGGTGATATTGCAATGACACCTGGCAATAGATACATGCTTGCTAGGGCAAACCCTAGCCCTCTTAAGAAAAATAATAATATTAGGAATATTGCTGCACTGCCTATTCAAGATCAAGAAAATAACGTATTCACGTACAATGGCGACGATGGTGGTGTCGATGATTGGGTGATCGAATGGGCTAATGAGTTGATTCAAGAACCCGGAATCGGTATTCAAGATCACGTGGCGGTGGATTTGGACGAGCTGGAGAATCTTTCGAATAAGGATTTATTTCAGATAATAACCGATATAGATACTCTCAATCCAATAAGTAGTACTATCGAAGTGCATAAAGATGAAAAATCGGCAGATCAGTCGTTGCAGCAAGGGCATCGAATTAGTAGCCAATCATCTGAACTAATTAATCCTGGTAATTACGGGGTTAATACGAGTACTAGCGTTGACCAAGTCAAACAGGGAGCGAAAAGAGGGAGAGGGAGGCCACGTAAGCACGAGAAGAAGGAGCTGCCACCGATTAAACGGCCGAGGGGCAGACCTCCGAAACGGCTGGATCAAGATAACAAGATCATGGATCAGTACTCATAATGACTACTTCTCTGATATCTATATGTATGTATATCTTGATTTCTTGGACAACAAGCTTTTAATTTTACTACATGATTTTATACAATTAGCTTCGGTTGTAATTGTTAATGCATGTTGTGTTCAAATAACAATTTAAACCTAGTTTGGACTATAAACTTCAGTTCATCTAACATTAATTGCATTGTCTTAAATAATTGTGAGGACACTGGATTTGATCCTTACAAAAATTCTTTGACCATTTTTTTTTTGATAAGAGAAAAATTCTTTGACATTGCAAGTAAGTTTTTGGGAGGTAAATGTGTTGCTTACCTTTAGTTATGGGAGTTACATATTATTTCATAATGAAAAATGATCCGTCGTGGGTTGGAGCTTCTTAATTCGAATCAATTTAGATCATCCAAGAAAATTAATATCGAATAGTTGTGTGTCACAGTAACTCATGGATACTTATTAAATTTCTGATAAAATTTTCTTTTCAAGACACTTATTTATGTGCGAAGATGAGGGAGAACCCCTTCAATACACAAAATAATAGAATCTAGATCCATTTTATAATTGGTCTTTCCGTAAAAAAAAAAACTAAAATTAACATTATGAATTGTGACCGCCTTCATGGTTCTCTTATTCATGTCTTGCCCTTCATTCCTATAAAACATGTTTGTCTCTTTCTATTCTTTAGTCTATGGATACCATTGTCATGATTTTCTCTCCGAAAATGAGGTACTCGTCGCCGAGATGATTTTAAATCACTAAATTTCAAATTGCATGAGCTCTTGATTGCACCGACAGTAAAATTTATCATCCAGAACAATCAATATGTACAAAAAGTACACATTAATTAGTAACGATCGAGAAGATAAGTTATATATACTATTCGTACTGAATAGCAAATTTGTACAATAAGACTATGGGTTGAGGCAAGTACACAATATATTTTTCAAAGTTGTTTAACGAACTAAAAGTCATAATTAAGAATAAAACAAGCTTTACACAACTTGGTGTTTTCATTTTATTCTTATATAGAGTATGAAGTCAAAAGGGTATATTCATTGACATATAACAGTCAGATCAATTATCAAGATCGTCATAAATTATAGGGTAAATTACACCCATACCTCTGTGGTATGCTAAAATAGCTTTAAGATTCCTGTGGTCTCGATAATTACACTCTCCCCACTGAAATATAGTTAAAAACTCTAATGAGATAATGCATTGGATACTAAAAGCTATGGGTGATTCAAGAAATGTTGGGGGAACCATGTCACCCTCTAACCCTAAGATGTCTCCACCACTAGTTAAAAATAATAGTCCGTTAGAATACTATCGGAATAACGTATCCAATGCATTATTACATTACAGTTTCTAACTATGTTTCAGGGGTGAGAATAATTATCGATATCACATGGACATTAAAGTTATGTTAACATACCTCAGGACTCAGAAGTGTGCGTGTAATTTGCCCTAAATTATATTTAGAGTCAAATCAATAATCAGTAATAAAGCACAAAGCTTTTTTCACTTCATATGCCTATCAGATTCTAAGTGACTGACAACCCTTTAAGATGGAACTTGCAACCACTGTACGATTTCTTTGTCCAATTTTCATCTAATCAAGAATATCTTAAGTATTTTTAACGTGAATCAAACTCGCACCGTCAACACTAAGACTATTGATCGTGTTCAGTTTGCCGAGATGATGATGTGGGCCTGATCTCAGCTTTCAAATTAGTCGGAGTCTCGATTGGTCTTCGTTCTTGCAACACCAAGAGAGGTTTCCCGACGTAAATGCTCCTACGATCAAGTCAGAAGAAAGGTTGTTACGTGAGTATGATGTATTTTAGTAGAAAAGTATTAAGCAGTAAAGATTTAAGTGAATTTCCTATTTATAGATACGTCGTGCCTTGAGATGCAAGCCTCATTAGATTTTAAACTAATTCTCTGTTGATTTGGGCATGCCGCATTTAATGGGATTTTAGGTTTAAAGGTTTAATATGCCTCAACTCGTTTAAAACACCGATTTAGGGTCTTGCCACGACATCTTAATGTCTTACCTCGTCTCGCCACAACATTTTAGGGTTTTACTTCATCTGGCCGTTCAGCGTAAAGTACAGATGATACTTTCGTCTTATTTAAGATTTCACATGCTCTTTTAATATGATTGGACTTCTAGTTTTGGATCATTTCTCCTTGCACCTTTAAATGCGATTTATTTTACATGGGCGAAGCCCATTGTACGCGAAGTAGCCCTTATAAAATATATTATAATTATTAATAGAATTAATAAGAAAATGGAAAAACAAAGTCTATACACATAAACTTCTAATCTATGATATAAATGTAGTCCTTGGCTTGCTGAACTCATGCATTATTCGAAAAAACCCTAAACAACACACATGAACCCTATATCTCACTCCCCACACTTTCTCTACTGACGATGCTAGAAAGTAAACGGGGTACCTCTAGAACTTCCCGTTGTGGATTAATGGCGGAAGCGAGAGTGGTGACTAAGAGAGAGAGAGAGGTCGACGACTAGGGTTTGACGCTAAAAAATCTACGGTCTTTAATCCTCTTAAGCCCTCTTTATATATTAGGGTTTCGAAAACCCTAGTGAGCTTAAGTTGTACCCGATCGTTAAAGTTGTTAGGCCCTCTATTTAGTGTCTCATTTGTAATAAATGATTGCTCGAAAAAAAATATAACGATTACATATAGTGACGAGCATGATATTCTCGTCAATACGAGTGCCACTTGAAATTTTTAGTTTCTAAAACTGGAAGTTAAAATTCCGTGCGCTTGCTAAATTGGGAAAATTCTCA